CCAACACACACACCCAACACACACACACACACACCCAACACACACACACACACACCCCAACACACCCCAACACACACACACACCCCAACACACACACACACACCCCACACACACCCCAACACACACCCCAACACACACACCCCACACACACACACACACACCCCAACACACACACCCCAACACACACACCCCAACACACACACACACACCCCAACACACACACACACACACACCCACACACACACCCCAACACACCCCAACACACACACACCCCAACACACACACACCCCAACACACACACCCCAACACACACCCCAACACACACACACACACCCCAACACACACACCCCAACACACACACACCCCAACACACACACACACACACCCCCAACACACACACCCCAACACACACACACACACACCCCAACACACACACCCCAACACACACACACACACACACCCCAACACACACACACACACACACCCCAACACACACACAACACACACACACACACACACCCCAACACACACACACCCAACACACACACACACACACACACACCCCAACACACACACACCCCAACACACACACACACCCCACACACACACACACCCCAACACACACCCCAACACACACACACACCCCACACACACCCCACACACACACCCCACACACACACCCCACACACACACCCCAACACACCCACACCCCAACACACACCCACACCCAACACACACACACCCACACCCCAACACACACCCACCCCCAACACACACACACACACACCCACACCCCACACACACACACACACCCCAACACACACCCCAACACACACACACACACCCCCAACACACACACACACCCCAACACACACACACACCCCAGCACACACCCCAACACACACACCCCAACACACACCCCAACACACACACACCCCAGCACACACCCCAACACACACACCACACACACACACCCCAACACACACACCCCAACACACACACACACCCCAACACACACACACCCCAACACCCACACCCAACACACCCACCCCAACACACCCACCCCCAACACCCCACCCAACACCCCACCCCCAACACACCCCACCCCCAACACCCACCAACACACCCACCCCAACACACCCCAACACACCCCCCCAACACACCCACCCCCCAACACACCCCACCCCAACACACACCCCCCAACACACCCCACCCCAACACACCCCACCCCCCAACACACCCCCCACACACCCACCCCCCCCAACACACCCACCCCCAACACACCCCACCCCCAACACACCCCACCCCCCAACACACCCCACCCCCCAACACCCACCCCCAACACACCCACCCCCCACACCCACCCCCCCAACACCCACCCCCAACACACCCACACCCCACCCCCCAACACCCCACCCCCACCACACCCCCCCCCCAACACACCCCACCCCCCAACACACCCACCCCCCAACACACCCACCCCCAACACACCCACCCCCCAACACACCCCACCCCCCCAACACACCCACCCCAACACACCCACCCCCAACACCACCCCCCCAACACACCCACCCCCAACACCCCCCAACACACCCACCCCACCCACCCCAACACACCCCCACCCCCAACACACCCACCCCCAACACACCCACCCCAACACACCCACCCCCCAACACACCCCACCCCCCAACACACCACCCCCACCACCCCCCAACACACCCACCCCCAACACACCCCAACACACCACCCCCAACACACCCCCAACACACACCCCAACACACCCCCAACACACACCCCCAACACACCCCCAACACACACCAACACACACACCCCCCAACACACACACCCCCCAACACACACACCCCAACACACACACACCCAACACACACCCCAACACACACACACACACCCCAACACACACACACACACCCCAACACACACACACACACACACCCACACACACCCCACACACACACCAACACACCCACACACCAACACACCCCACCCCCTACACCCCACCCCCCCAACACACCCCCCAACACACCCACCCCCAAATTTATAACTTCATTTGTAGTGTTATGGCTGTTCTCTTCCTCTTCATGGGTAGACGGACTAGGAGAAGACAATGCTGGAAATTTGGAAGCCATATTACTAGAGAAATATGGATAATGGTTGCAAAAAACACCAAATCACAAACGAATCCTCAGAGGTGATAGAATGGTAGTCCACATGGGCGATGGGCTAGTTCGAGACTGTGTGCATTGTGGCAGGAAGCGACGCACAAGCAGCACAACGCCCGACAGTAACCGACAAAACACGAGACTCGTTGATGACTGACTCACTCGCATTAGGGCGAATCTTTCTCGCATAAATTTAATTCCCAGTAGGAATAGGGTTCTCTTATATGAGTGAATTCACATATGCTGAAGTCGCACATATCGAGAACTTACTGTATTGCCAAACCAGTAAAAAAAACACAACACCAGCTACACTCTGCACACTCCTCCCACTCCCTCACTGAGCCAGCTAACTCTTGTGCAAAGAAGTGTATATTCCCTTATTGTGTTTGCCCTTAGGACAATTATTTCTTTTCCTTTTTTCACAACATGTGTAGGATGGTGTGTGCATGTAAGTGAGTAAAAATAAATGAAGAAAGTTACGTATATCTACCCAAAAATATGAGTTGATAAACAAGCATAACACCACGGCTTGGCTCAGTAGCCTGGTGGTTACAGTGACGAGTCTAACCTGGCTACAATGCCATGATTAATCACTATTAAGCACTATTATATCAGTAAACACTAATAATAACCGTAAATCCAGTGAAATATAGCAGGGGAGGGCAAAGTTACAGCTGAGCTAGCTAACCCTTAAGCACGCAGTCACTCACTCCCCTTACTTCTCCCATTGTCAGGTGTATGTTGCCTGGCATACATATGGGAGAAATACATATCTTGTAGTCTAATTTGAAAATGGTGATGGGCACGGTGATAAACAAATTACTGTATATAAACCATGCATTTACCTACGATAACATAATAAGGAATTTGTATTGTTACGAGAGTGAATGAAATAATATTCCCGCAAATAACAATTGACAACTCTGTTTATGTTTCACGCCTTGGGCACCTGTGTCCCGTGCACTGTCATCTTAGTTCCACGGGCCTAAGATGATCTTTGTTCTGTTTAGGAAATGCTTCTAAGGGAGGCTTCTTAGCCCCTGGAACCCCAAAATTTTTCCAAAAATTCCGAAATCCAGATTTACCATGTCCAAATCTTCAAGGGCTCACTGTACAGGGTATATATATATATATATATATATATATATATATATATATATATATATATATATATATATATATATATATATATATATATATATATATATATATATATATATATACCACCTATGTATTTGGATTTAATTCTTTGTCGCTACGCACGCTTTGGTGGGTGCCAAGTCCCATTGTCCTGAAATCTTATTAATATTGTCTCCATATCAGGGGTGGATCAGGGGAATCTGGGGGTCTGGACCCCACCCTTTTTCATCAAAAAATTTAATACTTTTTCTGGCATTTTTGTATAGTAAAACATAATTACTATAGACCTTAGAATATCTCCTAATATCAAGTGCTCGTGGCTTTAAAATGGCTTCAAAATCCCCATGATAATGGTTAAATTAAAAAAAATAATAATTTTACCCCCACTATACATCTGGGTGGGCTCACTGTGCTCAACATGTTACCCCACTCTCACCTTTTGGACCCCCCACCTTTGATATTCTTGGATTCCGCTACATATCACAATTCATAGTGTGTCTGAAAAATAAGAGTACCAATGTATTAGTGTCTGACCGCATGGTCTTGTGACTAGGCTTGCCAACTGGTTAAATTAATTAAATAATAAGTAATAAACCCAACTTGACTAAACAGATGCTCACTAGCAGCAGATGCAGGTATGGGGTGTTAAGTTTGAAAGATTAGTCACATAATGTTGGTAAAGACCTAAGTAACTCCATTCCATCCTCTGGGCATGCCAAGTAGCTATCAAGTTCCTTCAGTTGAGGAGTTTGTGGATGAATGTTTCCTCCATAGTGAGTGAGTCTGACTAAGACTCACCGTGAACGTCCTCTAATTGGGTGTGGCTGTGGTGACATCACTTTTCCATTCTAATTGATGAGTGGCTGAATTTTTCACACCACATAACATCTGGCAGGTGCTCGAGGGGGATGGTGTCACTTAGTTATTTAAGCAGAATTTTAAATACACTCAGTCGCACACGTATGTATAGACACAGGCTTTATGTCTAAGATGGAATTATATAAAGCATTTTAGAATCATAGCCTCTTTGAAATTCATTTTAGGTACAGGTATATACAAAACAACTGATGTCTAACAGGAAGACCAACTAAAGTGGAAAGAGAGAAAGAAGGAGATTCTATGGGGGAGGGGGATAAGAGGGTAGGTAAGGTTAGGTGGGTGGTCAAGGTGCTAATGGACACATGAAGCTCAAAGGGAAAGATCACTGTCATGGCCACTGCCACCTGATCTTGCCTCACCTCATGATACCTCTAGGTATGTGACCGCGTGGTGTCTCCCCTCACCCACACCCTATCCTTCTGGCTTCACCCACACCATACCCTCCACCTACACAACTCTTTTACTATGGTTAATAATTAATTCATTCATTCATTAAAATATAGTAGTTTGCCAGGACATTAGAACTCTTCGTTTGAGGCATGTAATGAGTAACAGTTTTTGTTTTTCAATAATTGTATTGGAGTAAAATTATTATAAAAACATACTTAAGTAAAAGTAATAAATAATTTCAGTACTTTTAAAAAGTAAATAATTACTTATAAAAGAAAGTATTCAATTAAAATTTAGTATAACTCTGTATGTGTGTGCACATACATTCACACACTTATCACATTCACAGAATTGACCAAAACTTGCTCCTGATTTTCTGCTTGTGTTGACTCTTAAATTTCCTTCTTTCAGCTGTGAGCCAAGTTCTGAACCAACTTGGGTCAGCAGGGAGCTATCTGGAGCCCCTACTTGTCCGCTCCCCTTCCAACAGCACCACATCTGAGGAGATCAGAAGTGATATCCATAGACTTATGTATATTTGTAAGTGTCAGGTTGTATAAGGCTGTGCAGATTACATGTGGAACATTTAATTGCCCAGATATTTCTTTTTACTTGCCCTGGCAAAATTTTTGAGGTTATTTGCTAACTCACAGATCACTTGTGTCTGTCTAAATGTTGTCAGTGGTGGTAACCCTTGTCTTGTGATGTCATAACTCCTGTCAACTCACCATGTACCTGCAGGGTGTGTGGGTGAGGCGAGTAGCACCTGTGGTCACTTACTACTACCCCCTTCAATTATCTGGTGTCAGTAACGGTAACACTTGTCATTTGAGGTCATAATTTGGTCCGGATATATACCATATTTTACGGCATATAAGACACACACCCCATTTTAACAGGGAGTGTTTAGGAAAAAACTTTTGTGTGTAGTTTCCTCCTGTAGCCATAGTTTTCTTGAAATAATATATACAATGCTAGTAAATATGAGGAATAAATAAATATAATACCAATAAATAATTTAAAACAAAAAATACTGTATTGCCAAACCAGTAAATGAAAATTAAATAAATGCGCCATTTGCATACACCCTGATACCGCCATGCAAGGCACACCCTCAGTGGATTCCTACCTGATACCACACTCTGCACCTCCTCCGCTCCCCCACTGAGCCAGCTAACTCTTGTGCAAAGAACATAATATTTCCTTTATGTGTTTGCCCTTAGGACAATTATTTCTTGTACTTTTTCTAATATGTATGTAGGAGGGTGTGTGAATTCATTAAATCCCATGGAATGTCGGGTGATGGAGTGAGTTTCTATGTAGTGATACACCATAATCTCCAGTGTGAAGGTATCTGAACTCTACAGTAAGAAATAAGAAACAGTGCAGCAAGGGTGCAGTGCGGGTTGTGTCATGTTGCGTCTGTAACAAACGGTGTTGGCACTTTGACCTTCTTTGTTGAGCAGTGGAAATTGGACTGATTACATAAGAGCGTCAAGATCGTCTTAGTGATGTCAATGTGTAAATCGATGTTGGATTTGTAATGTTATTCACGATTGTATATTAAAAACACTCTGTGACCATCCAAAGGCTGATCAGAGAGTGTAGTATTGTGCCTTTAGCTAACACAGTCCATAGTGACAACAGTGACCGCAGTGGAGGCTGAAAATAAATTGAAGTGAAAAACAAATTGGGACAAGCAACCAGGCACCAGTGCCTGATAGTAACCAAGTCATATTATTGGTGCCACAAAGAAAGTTTTTCTTTTGTGTGTGTGTTTTCTCAAGGACTGAAATTGTGCCAACGATCCACCATTCATAGGGAGATACAGTGTACATAGTGATAGTACATCAAGATAAATTTGTTGATGAGAACTGGAAAACATAAGTAAATAATAGTTAAACAAAATCAACCTGAAATGTCTCGAATGGCATTATTGCCGCCACAAAGAAACTTTTATTTTATTCTGTGATTGTGCATATAATCCACCATTCATAACGAGATATAGTGTTCATAGTGACAGCACATAGAGATACCAACAACTTGTCGAGAAAAAAAAAAGTCAAACTTTCTCTGACGGCAACACTGGACGAACGAGGGTGCCAGCGAGTTCAAGACTGGCAGGACAGCTAAGTGATTTTTTAAATACTATTAGTCTGCCACAAGGGCATGATCACTCACACATCTTAGTTCACTTAGATTACAATTAGAAGATGTGATTATAAAGGCAGTCATCCCAGCAAGGGGTAAATTTCTTCGTCAGAAGAAATTAAATGTGAGAGTCCGGTGGTTGGCACCACAAAGAGGCCTATGTACGAATGCAGCGACGTGGTTCTTTAAAGGGACCTTGACGCTAAATCCCTGCCACCAAAGCACAGAAGCAATTATCATAGAAATAATAAAGATTAATATTATTAAGCCGACAATTTGAATTATATCACATTGTAAACTGGGCTTAAGTCTGAGAAGACTCTTACAGAGGCTGCACACCCCCTTCCCCAACAGCGATAGCTGTCAAGCACCACGTGCCCCACAGGTGTAAGTACATAAAAGGAAGAAGAGAGTTTGTGACAAAACATGAGGCGTAGGGAATCAGAAGCTAAAACCCCAGCATCACCAGGAAGCCTGTTGACATGCAATTACTGCAGGGCAACGTCTGATGTACATTGTGTGGGTCTGGGCTGTACAGTGTTTAGGACGATACATTATGCAGTAAAGCATGAAGGCTGTTGCTACTATTGCCTTAACTACAAAATCAAAGTAAATAAGACGATTGCCAGACCATGAAGGAATGAGAATCCTAGGGATGAAAATAGATAAAGCTGAATCCTTGTTGGTTGCCAAACTAGAGCAAGTTGGGAAAAAGATCCTTGCTAAGACTGACGAAGTAGCTGATAGAATGGAAGGAGTAGTGAAGGAGAGTTTGCTCAGGCTTTAGCTAAGCAGGGCCACAGAAGGTGGCGGAAAGTAATGCCGGATCTGAACATGTTCTACAGCAGCTAGGGACACTTGAAGAAGTGTGATGAAGTGATGTGAACTAGAAGACCTACTGTTAGAGGAGAGGAGGAGCAATGGGAACATTTCCAGTGCAGGAACAACATAATAGTGTTTGGAGTCCTTGAGAGCCAATCGGAGGAAGCTGAAAGTAGAAAAACACATATGTGTACAGGGGATCTGAATATGTCACCACCCCCCTCAGGATGTAAGGAGGCTGTGACAAAAGCAGGAGGACAAGCCTTGCTCCCTCAAGATCACACTAGTGAGTGAGGATAAAAAATGGGAAGTTATTCGGGAGGCAAAAGACTTAGCAAGGAGCGGGGTATTTCGGAATATATTCATACACCCAGATCGCACACTAATGCAGAAGGAACAGCACAAAAATTCTTACGGGGCTTGAAGCAAAGGAGGGAGCAGTCGATGAAGAACAGGGACTGGCATACATAGATTATATCCAGGGGGAGTGTAGTGGAAGCAAGAGCGTCAGCACAGAGGCGGGGGAGAGCGGGACACTCTACCTCCCACCCAGGAGGAGACGAGCGCTATGTAAACAATGACATCTATGACCACACCCCGCAAAATACAACGTATTTAGCAAATGCTGTAGCTGCTGAGGATGGAGGGGGGCTGGAGTCACTACCAAGAGCAGAGACGTTACCGAGAACAAATTCCGGCTTGAAAGTCATGTACACTAATACTGACATATTCCTTAATAAGAGAGAGGAGTTTGAAACACTATTAACGATACATCAACCAGATATAGTAGGTGTTGTAGAACTGTTGTACAAGAACAGGAGAATCGACCCGGAGAAATGTGAGTTCAGTATTGCTGGATATGACTCATTTACGAACCTTTCTCAAGCAACTTGCAAGAGGGGAGTGGTTATCTATGTTAGGCAAAACCTTAGAGCCAGCCAGGTGAGGGTACAGGGAGAGGATGTTTTGAAGAATCCAGGTGGTGTAAAATTAAATTAGAGGGGAGACATTTATTGTTGGGTGCATCTACAGATCCCCAAACTGCAGCTTATTAAACCAAAGGAACTTAAGAGACTTAATAGACAATGCAACGGTGCTCAACCCTAGCCACCTCCTTATTATGGGGGACTTAACTATGGTAACATCGGCTGGAGAAATGAGACCTCTCAAAATTACTTAACTAACCTTGTTACTCTTTTTGTATAACTCTGAGAGATAATTTTCTGTTGCAACATGTTAAAGACCCGATGCATTACAGAGGGGAGCAAACACCCAAGCCACTGGACCTCATCATAACAAACGAGGAGGGTATGGTGGCCAAACTGGAACACCTAGCCCCCGTTGGCACCAGTCACCACATAACATTGTCCTTCAGATTTAACTGTTATTTGGTTCATGACAAAACCAGGTCCAGGTTCAAATATTACATTGGAAATTACGACAGGACGAGGGAGGAGATGAGGCGTATTCACTCGCTTGACTCACTAAGATAGAAGAACCCAGACACTGCGCTGGATATCATAGCCAGTAAAGTGAACCATTTGATCAATAAATATATACCCAAGACCAAACCCAGTGCCTCCTCCAGGAATACAAGGAGACCCTACACATGACAAAGTTAAGAAGAAAACCCGGAAATTCGAGGCGTGGGTTAGGTCAAGCGATGAGCAGGACAGGAGGATGTACGTAAGATCCAGGAACCAAGCTAAGTCAGAGTGTAGAAGGGCTAAAAGGGAATTCTAGAGGCAGAATGCAAGCAAGGTCAAGTCAAACCCAAAGGTGTTTTACCGCTACACAAAATCGAAATTAAAAACCCGAGTAAGAATATCAACTTGAAGATGGTAGTTATGCAGATTCTGACCAGGACAAAGTGGAGGTGTTGAACAGTTTTTTCCTCGGTGTTCACAAGGGAGGATGCAAACAATCTTCCTGCTTTTGAGGACAGACGGTTCGACACAGCGCTAACCCACATTGTATTCTCAGAAGAGGTTATAAGAAATAATTTTTCAAAGCTAAAGGTTCATAAGAGTCCTGGCTCTGACATGGTGCATCCCATAGTGCTAAGGGAGTTGCGCAACGAGCTCGCAGAGCCCCTGAAGATCCTGTTCTGTGAATGCCTGGTTGAGCAAAAGGTCCCCAGTGATTAGAAAATTGATTATGTGATTCCCATTTTCAAGAAGGGCGATCGACACCACGAATAATTATTGACCAGTGACCTGGACCAGCATAGTATGTAAAGTACTTGAGAGAATTATAAGAACTGAATTGATGGAACAGCTACTGCGAAACAACCTTGTAAAGGATTGCCAACACGTTTTTATGCTGGGACGCTCCTGCTTAACACAATTACTCAAGGTAATGGATATTTGGACCCAAATTCTGGAATTGGATGGTAATATCGACTACAGGTAGTCCCCGACTTACGACTGCTTGGACTTACGTCCATTCATACTTACGACCATCGGTACTTACGACCTGCTCTGACCTTACTACCGCGGCAGTCGTGACCAACAATATTTTCAAATGACGCGCGTATCTTCTATACCAAAACGTTTCGGTCCGGGCGAGAGCGTGGCACCCGCGTGGGTACAGCTTCCACTCATTGGAGCGCTTAGTTGGTGTTTGGCTATCGTATCCTATACTGATTGCGCTGTGAACTTTCGTTATTATCGTATTTAATTGACTTTATAATGACTGGAAAGCGTACAAGTGAGAGTGCTGGTGGTGCTCTAAAGAAAAGGAGACAGGCAATTACTTTTGAGATGAAAATGAAGATAATAATGCAGCATGAGAATGGGAAAACAGTAGCACCAATCTCACGTGACCTAGGTTTCTCGCACTCGACCATATCCACTATTCTGAAGGACAAGGAACATATTCGTGATCTAGTGAATGGAACAACACCTATAAAGGGAACTATAATTTCAAAGAAAACACAAGGTCCTATTCACGATATGGAAAAATTATTGGTGATATGGATAGGAGACCAGATACAGAATCGTGTACCCTTCAGCCTTCTAACCTTACAGGCTAAAGCAAGAAGCCTGTTCCAAAGCCTGAAGGAGCAGGCAGGAGATGAATGTGAGCAAACCTTTACAGCAAGTCATGGGTGGTTTGATAGATTTAAAAAACGCTACAGTTTTCGAGGATTTAATGAAACTGAAGTTATTTCGGATATTAATAACAAGATAGTGGAGTCAGGTAAACAGCTTCAGTTAGAAATTGATAATGAAGATGTTGAACAATTGGTTGAAAGTGTAGCAGAAGAGCTCAGTAACGAGGATCTTATTGAACTAGATGCACAGACAATTGCAGAGGAAGAAGAGAGACAAAATGTAGAAGAAGAGCCTGCACCCCCCAAAAAGTTTTCAGTGAAACAAATGACAGAGGCATTTGCTACAATTAATAAAGGAATGCAAATGTTTGATGGCATGGATCAAAATTATGAGCATTATGCCAAAGTTGACAGAATGATCCAAGATGCACTTGCTTGCTACAGAGAAATTTATAATGAAAAGAACATGCAAACTGTGCAGTCTAAATTGGACATCTATTTCAAGAAGTCCCCCAGTGCTGTCTCCTCACGCCCCACCAGTGCTGCCTCTTCACATGACAAAGCATTGTACTCCTTCCAAAACTTTCTGAGTGTTTTCTCACCTTCAGTAGCAGAAACAGCCTGAGCGAAGGTTGTACGTAAATAATACGCTTTAAAGGCAGCAATAGCACCTTGATGCATGGGTTGGATGACAGCGGTAGTGTTAGGTGGAATGTAGACTACCTTAACATCAGGGTGCATGTCGTCCAGGTGTGGTGGGTGTCCCGGAGCATTATCCAAAATCAGCAAAATCTTGAATGGAATCCGTTGTTGCAGACAATACTCCTTGGCTCGAGGAATGAAACAATTCATGAACCAATCCTCAAACAGTACTAGGGTCATCCAGGCTTTCTTGTTACTGCGATAAAACACTGGCAGTGTGTGCTTGCTGACATGTTTAAAAGCCCTGGGGTTATCTGAATGATAAATCATGAAGGGCTTTAGCTTGAAACCAGCAACATCCCCCCCCCCAACAGAAGTGTAATTCTGTCCTTGAATGCCTTGAATCCTAGCATTGTTTTCGCCTCTTTGTGGATGTATGTCCGCTCAGGCATGCGCTTCCATAATAATCCAGTCTCATCCACACTGAATATTTGCTCAGGCAAATAATTTCCTTCCACAATCGCATCATCTAACTCCTCCTTAAAAGCTTCGGCAGCACCAACATGAGCACTAGCTGCCTCTCCACTCACCTTAACATTATGTAAACTGTAGCGTTTTTTAAATCTATTAAACCACCCATGACTTGCTGTAAAGGTTTGCTCACATTCATCTCCTGCCTGCTCCTTCAGGCTTTGAAACAGGCTTCTTGCTTTAGCCTGTAAGGATAAAAGGCTTAAGGGTACACGCTTCTGTATTTGGTCTTCTATCCATATCACCAATAATTTTTCCACATCGTGAATAGGACCTTGTCCTTCAGAATAGTGGATATGGTCGAGTGCGAGAAGCCTAGGTCGCTTGAGATTGTTGCTACAGTTTTTCCATTCTCATATTGCATTATCTTCATTTTCATCTCACTTGTACGCTTTCCAGTCATTATAAAGTCAATTAAATACGATAATAATGTAAGTACACAGCGCGATCAGTATAGGATACGATAGCCAAACACCAACTAAGTGCTTTACTGAGTGTAACCACGTGGTGACCCAAGCCACGCTCTCACCCTGGACGGAAACATTTTGGTATAGAAAATGTGCACGTCATTTGGAAAAAAAAATTGGTCACGACTGTGGCAGTCGTATGTGCAGACGGTCATACGGTCAGAGCAGGTTGTAAGTGCGGATTGACATAAGTTGAGTCAGTCGTAAGTCGGGGACTACCTGTAATCACAAGCAGTGTGTGTGGTGATTAATTGGGCCCGCTGTTATTTTTTTTGCTTCATAAATGACATGACGGAAGCTTTCACACCTCCATTGAAATGTTTGCAGATGATGCCAAGTTATTTCTGGAAATTAAGAACCAATTGGATTGTGAGGAGCTGCAGAAAGATCTTTGTGAGTTTGAAGAATGGTCGAAGAAATGGCTGCTAAGATTCAATGTCACGAAGTGTAAGAGGATGCACCTGGGACATACCAATGGTAAAGAGGCGTATTATATGTCCCAACAGGATGAAGAAATTGTACTAATTGAGACCGATTGTGAAAAGGACCTGGGTGTATATGTTGACAATGAACTGAAGTTCTCATGCCATTGTGAGAAGAAGGTGATTCAAGCAAGTAAATTATTAGGGCCTACACTCATACGATCTTCAAGAGTGAGGTGCTTCCTCGCCTTGAGTACTGTCACCCCGCCTGGTCCCTGAGATATGCCAGGGACTGTCAGTTGATTGAAAATGTCCAAAGGAGGGCCAGCAGATTGGTGCTTGAACTTTGACACCTCAGCTACCCAGAGAGATTAGTGTGTCTGCAATTTCCTAGCTTATGCTACAGACTGGCAAGGGGGAACCTAATTGAGGTGTTTAAACATCTCAAAGGGCACTACTCAGTTGAGTGTCCATACCTGAAGCTGGTGGACGCTGACCCCACAAGGGGTCACAGCTTCAAGTTGAAGGAGCCTCAAGTACAGAAAAATGTGAGGGCAAACTTTTTCAGAGTGAGAGATGTGAACTCTTGGAACAACCTGCCAGAGAGTGTTGTGACGGCACCGAGTGTGAGCTCTCTCAAGACCAGACTTAACCGTCACTGGAGCAGGTTCAGATACATTCAGGAGGCAGTGCATGCCAAGAACAGAGAACGTGACCGACCGCGCAAGTGGCTAACAAGTCGATCAGTGGTGAAGAGGATACAAGAAAAAAAACACACACACACACACACCGATTTTCCGGGAACTGATGGTCTGGTGAATGTAGTTTTAGGCCTAAAGGTTTTATCTTATACAATGTCACAGACTAAACTTAGCAGAATATTACTTACATTGTTGGAATCCTTGCAAGATAGGGAATAATTTGAGTATATAAACATTACATAGTTTTCACAAGACATAAAAATTTTAGTTCGTGTAGGTATACGTAACTTTCTTCATTTAGTTTTACTCGTTTTCATGCACACGCTATCTTACAAGAATTCCAGCAATGTAAGTTATATTCTGCTAAGTCAATTCCGTGACAATTTATAAGTGCAAAACTTAAACTCCCTCTATTTGATAACTACGCACCTTATCTCCCTTCCATGACAGCTGTCGACACCTCACCCCTCCTCCCAGCAAGGGTGAAGGAAGTTTTAGGCTTAAAGTTTTTATCTTATAAAGTATCGCTGACTAGACTTAGCAGAATATATCTTGCATTGTTGGAATCCTTGTAAGATAGTGTTTAAGTTGAGTATGAACATCACATAGTTTGCACCAGAGACAAAAATTTTAGTTCTTTAGTGTATAGCAGAACGTCGATATAACACGAGATACGTTCCAAGAGAGGTTGCTTTAAACGGAATTCGCAATAACCTCATGGAAGTCAGATTGTCACATTTTATTATTAATCATAGAATAAGTTGGTAATATTCCTCTCACTGCAAGAAAATGATAAATTGGAATAAGTTACACAGTAAACCATTTCAAGACATTAATGTGCATTTGTAAAATAATGATTGTGGTAGACTTTATGATATCATGTCACTTCAAGAGTGGAGTATGCACATATTTTCAAACTATAATTTTTACGCCTGTACCTTCATTTTACCACAAGCCTGTCTCCAAATCACCATACTGCATGTGGTAAACATATTGGACAAGCCTGCCATAGCAGAACCCATCTGTTACAGCATTCAGTATTAGGAATGAATAGAAAGAAAATGTGTATGTGTATTTGCTCTTGGTTCTGGCCACTTTGCCTTAAGTAACCATAATGTGTTGTCTAATGGTAGACCCTGCTGCTATATGGCATCATGAAAATTGTGACCAAGTCCCAGGTTGCTGATCTGACTTTCTGCCTCATTTACACACAAATGCAGGTCTCAATTGTTTCAATTGTATCTCTTACTTGACAACACAATATACATACAGTATAGCTTTTCTCACTATTGATTTTTTTTGTCATTTTTGTATTTCTTTATTATTATTATTATTATTATTATTATTATTATTATTATTATTTTTGTTTTTATTATTATTATTATTATTATTATCATCATCATCATCATCATCATCATCATCATCATCATCATTATTATTATTATTATTATTATTATTATTATTATTATTATTATTATTATTATTATTATTATTATTATTATTATTATTACAGTGTTGTTATTATTATTGTTATCATTATTATATACGAACAGGATTAAAAAATAAAATGTGAGAGATTCTCCACACAGTCAATTGCATACCTAAGACTAAAATCCCTGATTTTTGGTCATATTTTTTGCATGATGATGAATAGTACTTCATTCTTTCCAATCTAAACAAACAAACATATCCCTAGATGCTGGTGTTGCAGTAGCGATCCTGGTGACCATCCTGGTGTACTTCCCTGCCTTGCCCCCCACACCACCCTCTATTACGTCCTCAATAGAAAGGCTTAACTTTAATTCAAGTCTCAAGAGTATGCTCAGGTATGATATTCAGTAAGGTTAATGTCAACAAAAGTCTGCAGAGTAATTATCTGTGCTATAGAATGATGGTAATATTGCCCCTATACAATTAAGTTATGCAGTACTGTATTACCTCTCTATGCTGAACTTCTATATGTATACCGAAGTTCACTATAGTAATATTTCCGTTAGCCGGAATCCCTCAAACTCAGAACTCTCCAATAGTCGGAATTTAAATTTTCCAAGTGGCACATTTTCTGAAAAATTATGAGAAAATTTTCCTGATACCAGTTTGAGAGACGAAAATCAGGCGCATTTCTGGAAATTCCAAGAACAATTTTCTGGTACCTGAAAAATTCCAGGGATGGGGGATATTTTTCTGGGTTCGAGAGATAATGTAATTGGCAATTTCTGGAACTTCTGAGAGCATTATTCCGTTACCTGGAAAATTCCGAGGATGAGGGATTTTTATCTGAGTTTGAAAGATTGTGTAATGCGCAATTTCTGGAGCTTCCGAGAAAATTTTCTCGGTACCCAGAAAATTACGTGGATGAGGGATTTTTTCTGGCTCTGGCAGAGTCGTCTCGTTACCCGGAAATCTCTCATTCCCAGGAGTGCTCTGCACCAATTGTTCCAGCTAACAGAGATATCACCAACTATATACCGAACCACTCCTCAGATTCCAGTAGTGTCTCTATTCCAAACCAATTTACTTTATTATGAACCCTCTACGAAACCCCTCCTCAAATATAATATTCTCCCCCGTTAGCCGGAATCTTCAAGCCAGGAATTCTCCATTAGCTGGATTTTTTTTAACCTGAGAAATTCCTGGAAAAGTCTCTCCATTCTGGGCATAGCAATGGGTTTCCAAGGATAGAATAATGTGATTTTCCGGAAAATTCTGAGAAAATCTCTCCATTCTGGGCATGGGAAATAATTTTCCGAGAGTTCCAAGACTTTGGATCACATTCTAACACATCCCTGTGTGCCGGTGCATGAGTGGGCTAGCTGCTTGGGTAACTTAGGCCACAGGCTCATGTGCTGTGATTGGCTAATACTGTTATGTGACTGCATGGGATGCCTGTGATTGGCTGATGCATCGCCCAGCACATCCCCTCATACCCTAGCAACATGATTTGCTCGCTGCTGTTTTTGCAAAAAATCTGTGTTGTGCGGTACTGTAAAGCCTAGAATAACGACTGTAATGTGTTCTCCAATATTGCGGTGTAAGGTAAATCATCGTATCGTGAATTAATTATTACCAATAAAATAACACAATAATAATGAGATGTGTTCCAAAGTCTGAGCTTTTCATATCTTTTGTGTGGTGTTTTACCCCCCTTCCCCTGAACAATAAAGTTAATGAAAATTGCAAACTATCTTTACATAATGTTTATGAATGTACCTTATACAATATAAATCAATAATACAATAATACTGTGGTCCCTCGGTTAACGAACAGTTTGATTAACAAAATTTTGGTTAATGAATTACCTCCCATAAGGATCTTCAATTCGGTTAATGAACAAAACTTCGATTAATGAAATCCTTACGAAAAACACGTTTTGTTGTGAGCATCAGCTGATGAGCTAGTCTGCCAATTCAATAATCTGTTCTATGTTTACATTTGTTTCCAGTGGAGTAAATATCAAGAAAGTTGTGCTCTTTAATATTTTTGCATTTTTTATTTTACAATTATTTGTCATTTTAAAATTTAGTTAACATATTCATAATATATGCAGTACAGGGAACTAGTTTTTTGTGCTCCCACCAGCTGCTTGACTCAGCCACCAGGCGTCAGTTGGGCTTTGTTTACAGTGGAGTGAACATCAATTTTGTTGGTGTCTTGAATATTTTTGCATTTTTACATCAAAATTATTGGTTATTCTGAAACTTAGTTAACATATTGATAATATATAGTGCTGTGCAGTGTTGATTTAAATAAAATAATCTTGAATTACACCTAGTGCACTTAAAATTTTATTGTTGAGTTTACTGCATCAAGCATGGCTCCCCTGAAAGGTGATTTCTCCTCCATCCCCACTTCCTTCTCTTCTCCCTTCTCCTCCACCCCCACTTCTAATTCCCATCATCATCATCAACCAGGAACCTTCTACATATACACCTCAAAGTGTATGTACTTTTCTGTGAGCTGGAACCAATTACCCAATATCCCATTGAAACAATGGATTCGGTTAACAAAATTTTGGGTTAACGAACGACTGTGGAACGAATTGTGTTCGTTAACCAAGGGACCACTGTAATAATAATACAGTAAAAGTCCAAAAATCCGGATGCCAGAAATCCGGACCACCCGAGAATCTGGACTTTTCAAAAACGATTTTTTTTTTTTAGCGGGCATTTGTGTGCATGTGCGCATGCGTGAGCGCCACAGCTGCACAGCGACAACAAGCGACCACGTGGTCGCCACTTTAAAATGGGCAATCAAACTGTGACAACATACCGTATATACTCGTCTATAACCCTCCCTCGTTATCAGTCGACCCTGATTTTTTGACCAAGAAATCGTTAATTTATGATATTCCTCGTTTATAGTTCCACCCACGTTTTTGAGGGTAATGGTACAACAAAACCACTAAAAACACTCTACGTCCTATAAACTGAGGCTCGCCGTGCATGAAACACAAGTGCTGAAGGCAAATTGTTTACCATTTATTATTACGACACTTTACACTGAAACGCAGGTAGTTTCAACAAAAATATTGTATATTTCCATTTAAGTATTTATTCAAGCCAATTAGGAGGGAATATTATTGAAATACAACAGTTTTTCAACTAAACCATTCGAAAAGCGATTACAGTAACATCTTTTGAACGAAAGAAAGCGAAAGTCATTGTTTTCGTCATGATTTTATCCCACTTTCCACTGTAATACGTACCGTATATACTCGTCTATAACCCCCCTTCGTGTATAGGTCGACCCCGATTTTATGACCAAGAAATCGTTAATTTATGATATTCCTCGTTTATAGGTCGACCCAAGTTTTTGAGGGTAAAGGAACAACAAAACCTTCAGAGAAACACTACGTCCTATAAACTTGTTTACCATTTATTATTACGACACTTTACACTGAAACGCGGGTAGTTTCAACAAAAATATTGTATATTTCCATTCAAGTATTTATTCAAGTCAATTAGGAGGGAATATTATTGTAATACAACAGTTTTTTAACTAAACCATTCGAAAAGCGATTACGGTAACATCTTTTGAACGAAAGAAAGCGAGTCATTGTTTTCGTCACGATTTTATCCCACTTTCCACTGTAATACGTACGTAATTTCAGGAAAAAATATTACATTTCCGTGAATGTAGTATATCAAGCACAGTATGAATAGAATATCATTGTAATATAACAGAATTTTAACCGAAAACTATTAAAAAAACGAATAACATCTCAAGAACATCGGAAGCTTAGGTGAAGTCTTTTGTTTTCGTCATGTATTTTATCCTATTTTACATTGAAATACATCACGTTTCAGCAAAACTACTATTTATTTCCGAGAATATATTCATTCAGGCACAGTTTAGGTAAAATATACGTGTGATGTAATAGTTTTTTAACTGAAAACGATTCGAAAAACACGTTCCCTCTAGCCCTGTTCAAGGAGAGGACTGGGAGAAGCTGTTTGGTGCTGCAGACGATGACAAGGAAAATGATTTTGATGGATTTTAATGAAAATATTCAGAAATATGGTATCGTAATATTTATTCAAGTCAATTAGGATATTATTGTAATACAATACAACAGTTTTTTAACTAAACCATTCGAAAAGTGATTACGGTAACATCTTTTGAACGAAACAAAGCGAAAGTCATTGTTTTCATCACAATTTTATCCCACTTTCCACTGTAATACGTATGTCATTTCAGCAAAAAATATTACATTTCCGTGAAGGTATTATATCAACCACAGTATGAATAGAATATCACTAATATAACAGTATTTTAACCGAAAACTATTAAAAATACGAGTAACATATCTTGAACATCGGAAGGTTAGGTAAAGTCTTTTGTTTTCTGCATGTAGTTTATCCTAATTTACATTGAAATACATCACGTTTCAGCAAAACTACTATTTATTTCTGAGAATATGGAAATGTAATATTTTTGCTGAAATGACGTACGTATTATAGTGGAAAGTGGGATAAAATCGTGACAAAAACAATGACTCGCTTTCTTTCGTTCACAAGATGTTACCGTAATCGCCTTTTGAATGGTTTTCAGTTAAAAACTGTTATATTACAATAATATTCTTTCCTAATTCACTTGTGATGTAAAAGTTTTTTAACTGAAAACGATTCGATAAACACGTGTACCGTCTAACTGATACGGCAGAGCCCTGGTCGTGGAGGCTTTGTGTTTGCATCGGCCCTTCTTAAGCAGCTTTTAATTTTAGCGTACGTTGAAATTGTGTTTACCGGTGTATTCTTATTTTCTTGCTTCTTATTTTCCAGAAATATGACAAGTTTTTATATAATACAATGTTACGGTACTTTTAATTTACAAGTATTCATTTTTAAAAATACAGAAGACACCAAACAAATACTAGTACGGATATTTGCGTGACTCTCCCGCCAAAAAAGACCAAACAGCTGGTACTCTCTCCCTCAGCCCTACCAAAAATAGCCCAACATCTTTCTTGTTTATTCTCTTCCAATTTCTCACTTTAACTGGTATTTTTTACTTCATATTGCCTACATCAGATAAACTACAGTAATTGAGGTTAGATATTGTTATAAATTTGATTACCGGGTCCTGGCAGGTACCGTTAGAACCACCTGACCCTACCAACAGTGTTGCAAGTCAGACAGCATTTTTTTTTTTTACATTTTTGGTGTCTCCATTTGTTAATTTTTTTTCTGTGGGGTTTGCACAATAGTATACTGTTTTACCTACAGTATTGTAAAACGATTTGGGAAAAGAAATACTCGGTAACTTAAAATTTTAAAAGGAAAATTTTGAAACTGGCAACTGTGTGTAGATGACCTGACTCACATCA